ACCATCTCCTGGTAAACACCATTCTACTCTCTGTTTAAATGAGTTCAGGTTTTTACATTCCGACATGAGATTCCACTTACCATAGAGTATTTGTCTTTCTCCCTTTGACTTTCCTCACTTAGCATAATGCCCTCAAGTTCCATCCGTGTTGTCTCAAATGGCAGGGTTTCCTTCTTTCTCATGATTGAATAGTATTCCATTGTATGTTTGCATGTGTATGTATATGTGATATGTGACAAACAGACCACATCTTCGTTATCCTTTCATCTTTTGACCAACACTTAGGAGGTTTCTGTATCTTGGTTGTTGCAAATAATGCTGCAGTGAACATCTTTTCAACATCCTATTTTCATTTTCTTTGGATATACACCCAGAAGTGGGATTGCTGGATCACATGGTAGTTTTTTTTTAATTTCTTGAAGGATCTCCATACTGTTTTCTATGAATTTGGCTGAACCAATTTTCATTTCCATTAACATTGCATGAGGGTTCCTTTTTCTCCATAACCTCACCAGCATTTGGTATTTTCTTCTTGGTGACAGCCATTCTAACAGGTTTGAGGTGGTATTTCGTTGTGGTTTTATTTGCATTTCACTGATGATTAGTGATATCCTTTTGTGTATAGATACATCCTTTTGTGTATCTGCTGGCCATTTGCATTATTCTTTGGGAAAATGTCTATTCAGTTCCTCTGCCCGTTTTAAAATTAGACTATTTGTTTTCATTACTGAGATGTATAAATTCTTTATATATTTTGGCTATTAATCTCTCATCCAATATATGGTTTAGATGTATTTTCTTCCATTCATTTAGTTGCCTTTCCATTTGTTGATTGTTTTGCTGTGCAGAAACTTTTTAGTTCAGTGTAGTCTCACTCACTGACTTTTGCTTTTGTTGCTTGATATTTTGGTGTCATATGTAAAAAAATCATTGCCAAGACCAATATCAAGGAGCTTTCTTCCCTATGTTTTCTTCTAGGGGAGTTTATAGAATCATGTCTTGTGATTAACTCTTTAATTTTTTCAAGCTAATTTTTGTGTATGGTGTGAAATATGGGTCCAATTTCATTGTTTTGCATATGGTTATCCAGTTTTCACAAGACCATTTGTTGAAAGGTCTACCTTTTCTCCACCGAGTATTGGCTTCCTTGTCAAATACTAGTTGGCCGTATATGCTGGAGTGTATTTCTTGGCTCTCCATTCTGTTTCATTGGTCTTTGTGTCTATTTTTATGCCAGTACTGTATTGTTTTAATTACAGTAACTTTGTAGTATATTTTGAAACCAGGATATATGATGCTTCCATTTTTGTCCTTTTTCAGGATTGCTTTGGCTATTCAGTCTTATATGGTTCTACAGAAATTTTAGAATTATTTTTTCTTTTTCTGTGAAAAGTGTTCTTGGAATTTTGATTAGATTGCGTTGAATCTACAGAGTGGTCTGAGTATGGACATTTTAACAATATTCTTCTGATCCATGAACAAGGGATATCTTTCCATTTATTTGTGTCTTCTTCAATTTCTTTCATTGAAGTCTTGTAGTTTTCATTATAGCTTGTTCACATTTTTTGTTAAATTATTGATAAATATTTTCTTGATTTGATGCTATTGTGAATGGGATAGGGTTTTTGTCCAGATATTTTGTTGTAAGTGTACAGAAACACAACTGATTGCTATATGTTGATTTTATATCCTGCACATTTAATGAATTCATTGATCATTGGACCAAAATTTTCCGACAATTTTTGGTTGAGTCTTTAGGATTTTCTATATATAAGATCATATCATCTCCAAATAATAACAGTTTTACTGCTTCCTTTCTGATTTAGATGATCATTATTACTTTGTCTTGCCTAATTGCCCTAGGACTTCCAGTGGCATATTGATTAAGAGTGGTCAGAGTGGGCAACCTTGTCTTCTTCCTGATCTTAGAGAAAAAACTTTCAATCTTTCACTATTGAGTATGATGATAACCATGGGTTTGTTGTATGTAGCTTTATTATGTTGATATATTTTCCTTCAATGTCCAATTTTTGAGAGCTTTTATCATGAAAGGATGTTACATTTTGTTAAGTGCCTTTTCTGTATCTACTGAGATAATTACATGATTTTTATATTTTGTTCTATTAATGTTGTATATCACATTTATTGATTTGTATATAGTGAAACATTCTTGCATCCCAGGGATAAATCTTACTTGGTCATTGTGAATGATCCTTTTAATGTGTTGTTAAATTGTTAATATTTTGTTGAGAAGTTTTGCATCTATATTCATCAGGGATTTTGGTCTACAGTTTTCTTTTCTTGCGATGTCCTTGTCTGGTTTTGGTATCAGGTTAATGCTGGACTCTTAAAATAAATTTGTAATTGTTCTCTCCTATTCAATTTTCTGGATGAGTTTGAGAAAGATCAGTGTTAATTCTTTAAATGTTTGGTAGAATTCATCAGTGAAGCCATATGGTACTGGTGGCTTTTCTGTGTTATAAGGTTTTTGATTATGGATTATATCTCCTTACTTATTATTGGTCTGCTCAGATTTTCTATTTCTTCCTGATTCAGCCTTGGTAGGTGTTATGTTTCTTAGAATTTATCCATTTCTTCTAGTTTATCTAATTGGTTAGCATATTTTGTTCATAGTGGTCTCTTGTATTTCTGTGGTGTCAGTTGTAATGTCTCCTCTTTAATTTCTAATTTTAGTAATTTGAGTTCTTTTTATTTCTTAGTCAGTCTAGCTAAAGGCTTTATCTTTTGTTTATCTTTTCAAAAAAACAGCTCCTAGTTTTATTAATATTTTCTATTGTTTTTCTGATCTCTATTTCATTTATTTCTGCTCTGATCTTTGTAATTTCCTTCCTTTTGCTAACTTTGAGCTTATTTTGTTTTTCTTTTTCTAGTTCCTAGAGATGTAAAGTTAGGTTTTTATTTGAAATCTTGCTATTTTCTTATTATATGTATTTATTGCTATAAATTCACTCTCAGAACTGTTTTTGCAGCTTCCAGAGGATTTGGTGTATTGTTTTTCCATTTTTATTTAAGTTTTGAAATTTTCTCTCTCAATTTCTTCTTTGACCTATTTTCAGGAGTCTGGTTGTTTCCACATACTTGCAAATTTTTGAGTTTTCTTTATGTTATTGACTTCTAGTCTCATACCATCATCATAGGCAAAAATAATTTGTATGATTTCAGTATTTTTAAATTTTCTAAGACTTGCTTTGTGGCCTATCACATTTTGTATTTTAAAGAATGTCCCACATGCACTTGCGAAAAATGTGTATTCTACTACTGTTGAATGAAATGTTTTATAAATGTCTATAAGGTTCATCTGGTCTACTGTATGACTGAAGTACAACATTTCCTTGTTGCTTTTGTCCAGATGATTTATCCATTGCCGAAAGTGGGGTTATTGAAGTCCTTTGCTATTATTGTGCTGTTGTCAGTTTCTCCCTTCAGATCTGTTATTATTTGCTTAAAATATTTAGGTGTTCCAATGTTGTATATATTTACAATTTTTATACCTTCTTGACAAATGATCCCTTTGTTACCATTTTTGGCTTAAATAGTCTATTTTGTCTGATATAAATATAGTTCACCTGCTTTATTCTGGCTTCTACTTAAATGGAATATTTTCTTATATCTCCTTGAGCCATGTATGTGCTTAAATCGATATCTTGTAGGCAACATATAGTTGGATGAAACTTTTTTCATGGCAAACACAATAGGACAGAGTCTATACTTTCTGTATACAATTATATATATCCACAATGGAATTGCATCTACTGTCTGAGCTTTGAGCTATTAATGAACTTAAATTTGTAGCAAAGGGTCAAATATAAAAAATTCTAACTTATTATATGCTCCTGCTTCCTCAGTCCAAACTAAGCCAGTTTTGATGAAAAGAATTTTGTAATGTGAGTATTGATGAAAGAGCAAACAGACTTTTTTTTTTAATAACATGAGATTTAGGAATTAAATATAGCAGGCAGAAGATCCTGTAGGAATTTCAAGTAATATTTTACGATGGTACACTACAGGATGTTCTAAGCCTTGGTTTACATAGCATGCTACTTTATATAGTATTCTTTATTCTTGGGATCCCAGAAGGAGGAGATATTATATTGATATAGATAATCATCTCTGCTTCCTTCCTATCTGTCCAGGCGGGAAGGGAATAAACAAAAATAACATCTAGCTCATAGCAGAAGTAGGAAAGAAAGTTTAGAAGAGTAAAGGCCAACATAAAAAAGAAATGTGAAGGAGTAGACATTTTGAGTAGGATAAGCTTACATTATGTACTCCTAAAAGATAAATACAACTTGAAAATTAGTTTAAATGTTTTAACTGAACTTTCTAAGAATTACTTATTTTATGGCCTTTGCATGGCGATGTCTGCCACATCTTTCAAAATATCCAGGGGTGGTCTTATATTCATTTATCATTTACTCGCCTTTTAATTTTATAATTATTATTAGTTATTCATTATGCACTTATGAGGCAGATACCAGAGACTGAGCACTTAAAAACTACAAAAAGTGGAGTTCTTGTCTGGGGGCTGCTTTAATATTTGGATGGGGGGCCCAGATATATTGTAAAATAATAACAGGACTAAAGCAATACAGTGACAGTGTTTCAGTTAGGAAGAAATAGCAGAGATGTAGAGAAAAAACCCAACATATTTCTATTGCTGTTTTTTAAAGAAAACTACCTCCTAGAGAAAGTGGATTTTACTAAATGGGTTACTTTAATGAGACGAGCACTAGGAAGGGATTGGCCATGGGAGTTTGAGAGTAAAAGTTGGAAAAAGCTGAACTGCAATGCTTCGTAGAGGAAAATACTTCAAAGTTCTTGGTTCAGCTGAGGGGTAGAGTAGGGAAGATAAAGAATGGAAAGAGAGAAGAGAGGAGCCAGTGAGACAAAGAAGGGCTGCTGTTAGGCCACACAAGATGCTCACTGTGTCATTTTGAAATTGCTTGTAATCCTTGTGACTCAAATCCTCTTTTTCTTACCTTCCTTCCCAGGATGCTATAGTAAAGTTGACTCCTCAGGAATGCTGTGTGTACATGCTGGTGGCTCATTAGTAAAGAATCCATCTGCAAAAGCAGGAGTCTCCAGTTTGATTCCTGGGCTGGGAAGATGCCCTGGAGAAGAAAATGACAACCCACTTCAGTATTCTTGCCTGGAAAATCCCTTGGACAGAGGAGTCTGGTGGGCCACAGTCTATGTCGCAAAGGGTCGAACATGACTGAGCACACACACACACCATATACTTAATTTATAAATGACTATGTTTTGTCTATGGCTAGAGATTCACTGTTTTAACATTCTTTCTTCTTTGCTTTGAAGGAACCCATTTTCAATTCTTCTTCAAGTTGCTAATGGTTGAATAAGAAACAAAGCCCAGACCTGTGGTTTACAAACTTGTTTTTAATAACAAAATCTTACCTTCAAATAATATCTTATCCCAAAGTGCAACACGTAAAACAGAAAAAACCCAGTTGCCCTGGTTAAGAGGGTGGGAATCTTTTCCTTTTGTGCTCTGCCTCAACCATCCCTTAGAATTCCTGGGGCTCCACAGAGCACAGCCTGAAAACTAACACCCTAGAACAAGAGAAATGAGACTGTAACATCAGTCTCCTTTCTTGATTAAACTATACTGACCTTGGTGGAAGAAATTCCATTTAGAAGTTTGTGCCAGAAAGTGAAAAATGTCGATATTATCTAGTGTTGGCAAAGGAACAGGGAAATGGGCACTCTCAAACACTGCTGCTGAGAGTATAGATCAGTACAGTCTTTTTAAAGAAAATTGATCAAAATTTTAAATATGATCCCTCAGTTCCACTTCTGGAAATCTTTCCACAGAAATACTCATGTTGTTGTTATTCTGGATTCAGTCACTAAGCCACGTCTGATTCTTTTGCGACGCCACGGACTGCAGCAAACCATGCTTCCCTGTCCTCCACTAATACTTATATATCCACACCAAAGTCTATGTACAAGGATGCTCATTATTTATAAGGCTAGAAAATAAAAATAAATTAAGTAGAGGAATGGTTGAATAAATTATGCCACTTTCATATAATGGAGTACTGACATTAAAATGAAAGAGATAGATATATATATATAAATAGATTATAGATACATATATAGATTTAGATATAGGTATGGATAAAGATGGATGTACCTCATACACTAAGTGAAAATGCAAGTTACAAAAGAACATAGTAAAAATGATACATATATAGGTTAAAGGAAGTGAACAAACCCCCCACATTCTATGAAAGCTATGTAAGTACTTCTGATTGCAAAATTAAAAACCGTAAAACCTCTAGAAATAGATGGCTAGTCTCAGGGGTTAGTGTTTCCTACTTGAGAACTAATGGAAGTAAGGGGGCATACACTCGCTATTGTGTAGATGTGTATGTGATTTGGATTGTTTACAAACGACATGCACTAACTTTACAATTAAAAAAGCAATGAAGACAAAGATAAAAACAACATAAAATAACTGCTGTTTCAATAGTTGATGTTTCCTCTTTTATATTAAAAAAATTCAAAGAATGTAACCTGCTTGCCTTCTTTCTCTGTCTACCAGGAAATCCAGAGTAAACTTAGAAGCATGAACCCAGCAATGACATTGACCTTTAAACCCAGAATATTTACATTTCCTTTTTGCTTTGGCCCTTGTTTTTCTATTTCCAGTTAACTATTTCCCAAAGCTTCCCTGGCTCATTTTTCAAAACAGATAGAATCCATCACTCCAAGCAGCCCACATTTCCTTGTTAGAAACACTCTAGGGCTGAGGAGTGAAGGATTTGATTTACTATTTATACTTTACACTCTGATTATTCTCACATAGGATCTGAGGACAAGAATCGGTACTCTTGCAGCTATATAAAACACTTGGATCTACTTCGGAGTTTCACTTTGTCTCTGCTCCAAACTTAAGAGCTGCAGGGACAGTCAGAAGGCTCTTGTGACAAGGCTTGTCTTCGTCCTGTACGTGGTGGGAAACCACTGAGGGCTTTTAAGCAAAGGAGAAACTGGATCTTAACCATGTTTGGAAAAAAAAAAAATTCTGGCAGAGGAAAGAGTAGATTGGCACGGGGAAAGGCAGAGATACTCATTAAGTATCTGTAGAGTGGTTGGATAATTGATAGTTAAATGACCAAGGTAGTTTGAAAGTCTGTATTTATTGGAAGGGACTGTGCATCATTTGTCAGTAATGCCAGGTTGGATCATTTGGTCTGAACTTCAGCTAGTTAGGTCCACATCGTAGGTCCAGTTAGATTCAAAAAAGAAAAAACTTGAGCTTCACAGACTGCAATCTATGATTGCAACCAAATAAGCTGTCTCAAAAGGGGGAAGGTGTAAATAGCTCAAAGCAGAGACATTCTTGTGGTCAGAAAAGAAGGGAAGACAATAGTTTTCCCAGGTACCTTGGCAAGATACCAGCACCCAGCATCTTTATTTGAAGAGGGGCTGTTTTTTCCACTAATGGTGAAGTATATCTGCCTCATTTCTGAGGAGGGAATGCCACCCCAACTAAGGACACTGTTTGGGGTCAGACCTAGTTCACATCTTGATTCTGTCAATTATTAACTGTGTGACCTTGAGCAACCTCTCAGCGCCAGTTACTTCCATTGTAAAAGTGGAAGTAAAACAACCATTTCCATGGGTAGGCGGGTAAAATGAGGGAAGGTGAGTTAATTTTAAGGACCAAGTGTGATTTTTTTTTTTTTAATCTTGTTTTTAAATATTCCTCTTTGTACCTCCCTACCTGCCAGGACTGAGGGATGCAGTTGTTATTTATTAGTGCACGCAGCCTGAGGTATCTGTTTTAGGACTTTGTACATTGAACAGTTTACAGAATGATTAGCTGGTCTGCCTGTTCTCCCTTTAGATCTGGGGACAAGGGTCATGCCCAGGGATGATAGCCATCCGCCCTTCCACCCCTTTGACTCCCACCTCGCAGGGAGTGGGGCAGATGACCCTCCCCACCCATCCTGCCCAGGAATCCAACTCAGCTCCTGACCCCAGGAGGCATCTAACCTACCTTAACCTACCCTCAAAGCCCTCTAACCTAGCCTCAAAGGCTTCTGAGGGGTGCCAGTCTGCCCCACCCTGCGGGTGCCCGTGCTTCCATCCCTGCAATCATATCTGACTCTTTGCAACCCTATGGATTATAGCCCCTGCCAGGCTCCTCTGTCCATGGGATTCACCAGGCTAGAATAAGTGGAATGGGTTGCCATGCTCTTCTCCTAGGGATCTTCTCCATCCAAGGGTCGAACCGCTTCTCTTATGTGTCCTGCGTTGGCCAGTTCTTTACTACTAGTACCACCTGGAAAGCTCAGTTTCAGTAATTCCAGGTCACTTGGTGAAGAATGGTCCCACCACCTGCAGTAGGTCCATTAGCTTTGCAGGTCCTATCCACCATGGAGCAGCTTGGCAAAGAAATCACTGACTCCAAGAATGTTACTAAATTAATATTGGTGTTTTCTGAGGATTGTATTTCAAATGCATGTGGACAGGGACTTTCTGGTTTAAAATAAAGCCCATATTTAACTTCCCTCCATCATGTCTGACAAATACGAGGGGTCTCATCTACTTTTCTGTCCCTGCTAACCCCTAGACAAGACATCCCTAGACTGGGCATGGCAGGACCCTTCTCACCAAGGAGGAAGAAAATCACCCAGATTCTGGTGCAAATTCTTGTCCCTGCGCTTGGGACTTACAGTGACTGCCTTCTCTCAGTTCTCCAGAAGGGCGCGGTTCACCCTGTCCTCTCTCCTCTCCCATCCTGCCAGGAGGCACTGCCCACGCCTTGTGAGGGTCCCCCGAGACCTGGGATTTCTGCTACTGCCACTCTCTCTGCTTCGGCTCGTCTCTCTGCGGCTGCACCTCCACCCTATTGCCACCACTGACTCCGCTCCACTTGTCCTGCTTACATCCAGCCTTCTGCCAGCCCAGTGCCGCTTGCCAGACTCTACTTGGCAGCAGGTGGTGTGGGGTGCTGAGGAGGGAAGGACCACAGTGAAGTCAAAGTACTTATGTAGGTCAGAGTTCATTATTTCAGAGGGTGCAGAGACTACCCCAATGTGGAGTTGTGTGAATACAAATACACACATGAGTTTTCTGGGGAAAAGTGTCAAAGGGATCAAGTGACTCAAAAAGTGTTACCAAACTAATATTGGTGTTATGTCTGTTTTTTTTTTTTTTTTTAATGCATTAGGATCAGGGGCTTGGTGGTTAATATTATAAACATGCTGAGAAAAAAAAAATCCAGATTAAACCTCCCTCTACCATGCCTGACAAATACAGGGCTTATTAGTTACTTTTACCTTTTCAAATATAAATCTGTAAGGAGTCCCCTTCTCAAAGTTTCCCCTCTGGTGAATCTTTTTTGCCTTTGCTGATGTTTCTTCCTTTAATACTCTTGGGAATATTTAGTATATAGGACAAGCTCTAGTATCTTAGTACCCTTGGTAGCAGATGAGAAAAACAAGAAAGAATGTATAATACATTTATAGAGCACAACCACATGCCAGGCCCCCTTTAAACTATCTTTTAAAATCCCCATGCCTTTAATCCTTCTTTGTCATGTGAAGAAACAGAGGCAAGAGAGATCAAATAATTTGCCCAAGTCACAGTATTTGAATATAGGTTTCAAAACTGTTTGGATCCAAAGTCATACCTTTTCTACTTCACTAAGAGTTTCCCAAGGGAAAATTTTTTTAATCACTGGTGAAATTTGCATTTTGATATTAAAACACTTTTAAACCCTACTTCCCTTGTGGGAAAAAACTGTGCTGTCTCCTAAATCATCAGCATTATAGAAGACGAGAGCTCTGAACTCCCACTTGCTTCTAACTAATCTCCTCTCTTCTGGAGTTTCATTTCTTCATTGGGATCCTGTTCCATGCTGGAGGTATGGAGTTATGTGAGGGTGTGCAGGAGGAAGGGCCTTTGAATTGCAATGGTAAAAAGCAAAGAAATTTAATTTCTCACAGTGCTCAGAGTAACCTCATTTTAGTATGTCCCTTTATGTATATGCTTGAGTTGCTTCATAAAAGGCCCCCTCTGTCACCTTAGCCTTGATGTATATCAGGTCTCTGGCAAGGACTGGTAGGAAAGTCAAATTGCTTTTGTTAAGTATTTCTGAAGGAGTCTATGGATATGAGACAATGGATATAGTGGGAAGAGATTTCCTAGCTATAATAAACTTAAAAGCTAGAATTTAGATGTCTGATGAACAGGTTGGATTGAGTATCTATTCTTTTTTTTTTTTTTTTTCTTTTCAGTTCCCATTTATTTTTGGCTCTTGGGGCAATGTCATCTTTTCAATATGAAAAAAAGCAAGTTCAACACAATAGAAATCTGAAGTGTAGAATAGGACAAGATCAAGAGTGGGGGAAGCAGTAGCAGAAGAGATGAGATGTTTGCCAAAAGATGGAAGGTGTTCTGTCCCCTCTTTGGGGAATGATGTTTAGGTGGCAGCACATACCTTTCCATATAGGTACAGAAGGGGCTGATATATTTTTGGTAAGAAAAGATGGGGTGGGGAGGGACTTTCTGGAGGCTGAGAGACCAAGGCTATCTCTTGCTTCTCCCTGCTTTCTCAAACAGGGGAAAGGAGGGAATCCAACGTTATTATGAAGGAGATAAAGTGGAAGAGGAAGGGATTCCCACTTGATAGGGTGGGGGCCAGAAATTTGCAAACATAATAGCTCAGGACAGAACTTGGAAGGAGACTGAAAATGAAGATAATACTGTCAACACCTCCGCAGAAGCTGAGAGGGGAGGGGAGATACCTGGCACCTAGGACTTCAGTACCCTGGATGCCCCTCTCCAAAACCCAACCCTTTCTTGTAGGGACTTCTACCTGCTGCTCAGTTTCCTTTCCCTTGGGCCAGCACACCGGCCTGGGATGGCAATCACCTATCCCAAATTTTCAGCACACAGTTCTAAATGAGATGTGAGGAGACCCAGCCTCTTGGAGAGTTATCTCAAAACCAGAGAGGGAAATACTAACTGGACAGATGGGAGGAGTGGGCACCAGCAGGAAAATGACAGGGTTACCCAGAATGGCAGAAATCTAGGTTCCCCAAGAGTGGAAAGAGAGAAGAGACATTCAACAAACAACAAATATTTATTGAGCGCCTATTATGTGCCAGGCACTGTTCTAGAATCCCCCCCAAAAAAGAAAAAACAAGATAGAGGCAGAAAATGCAAATTCTGAGGGAGAGGAAAGGGGTCGTTGAGGAAGAAGGCTGAGGGGATTGAGAAGCCTAAGGTGACAGGGACTTGGCCTTAGGCCTCCTCTTCGGCCTCCTCACCAAAATCCTCTTCCTCTTCTGCGGTGGCATCCTGGTACTGCTGGTACTCGGAGACGAGGTCGTTCATGTTGCTCTCTGCCTCAGTGAACTCCATCTCGTCCATGCCCTCACCTGTGTACCAGTGGAGGAAGGCCTTCCGGCGGAACATGGCAGTGAACTGCTCCGAGATGCGCTTGAACAGCTCCTGGATGGCTGTGCTGTTGCCAATGAAGGTGACTGCCATCTTGAGACCACGGGGTGGGATGTCGCAAACAGCTGTCTTGACGTTGTTGGGGATCCATTCCACGAAGTAGCTGCTGTTCTTGTTCTGCACGTTGAGCATCTGCTCATCCACCTCCTTCATGGACATCCGCCCACGGAACACAGCTGCCACGGTGAGGTACCGGCCATGGCGGGGGTCACAGGCAGCCATCATGTTCTTGGCATCGAAGACCTGCTGGGTGAGCTCAGGCACTGTGAGGGCCCGATACTGCTGGCTGCCACGGCTGGTTAGGGGGGCAAAGCCAGGCATGAAGAAGTGGAGACGTGGGAAGGGCAACATGTTGACTGCCAGCTTGCGGAGGTCAGCATTGAGCTGGCCAGGGAAGCGGAGGCAGGTGGTGACACCACTCATGGTGGCCGAGACGAGGTGGTTCAGGTCTCCGTAGGTCGGCGTGGTCAGCTTGAGGGTGCGGAAACAGATGTCGTAAAGGGCCTCGTTGTCAATGCAGTAGGTTTCATCAGTGTTCTCCACCAGCTGATGGACAGAGAGGGTGGCGTTGTAGGGCTCAACCACAGTGTCGGACACTTTGGGTGAGGGCACCACGCTGAAGGTGTTCATGATGCGGTCAGGATACTCTTCACGGATCTTGCTGATGAGCAAGGTGCCCATTCCAGAACCAGTGCCCCCACCCAGTGAGTGGGTCAGCTGGAAGCCCTGCAGGCAGTCACAGCTCTCGGCCTCCTTCCGAACCACATCCAGGACCGAGTCAACCAGCTCGGCCCCTTCTGTATAGTGGCCCTTGGCCCAGTTGTTGCCTGCCCCAGACTGACCAAAAACAAAGTTGTCTGGTCTGAAGATCTGACCAAAAGGACCTGAGCGAACAGAGTCCATGGTTCCGGGTTCTAGATCCACCAAAATAGCACGAGGAACATATTTGCCACCTGTGGCTTCATTGTAGTACACGGAGATGCGGTCCAGCTGTAGGTCGCTGTCCCCATGATAGGTGCCCGTGGGGTCGATGCCATGTTCATCACTGATCACCTCCCAGGACTTGGCACCGATCTGATTGCCACACTGACCGGCCTGGATGTGCACGATTTCCCTCATTGTTAAAATTTATTCAAATCTTTTTGCTCGCCTCAAAGTGTGTACGGGGCAAAAAAATGATATGGAATTAGTTTTTCTCTGCTGCTGGTCGCAGGGTGGAAAGATGGAACTGGACCCGGAGGCTGAAGCAGCGAGGTCCGAACGCGGCGGCAGGAAGGTTCTGAGAGGGTGAGTATCTATTCTTATGTGGGGAGAGAGAATCCTGAGGAACCCTCTAAGAGATTAACAGATCTTGAAGAAAGAATGATGCAGGTAAACTTGACCTATAACAAAACCTGGGTAGCAGGAGGGGAGGAATTTATATCTTAGAACTTGCCACCAGTGATGTTTTCTCTGGCTGATATCCAAGAATCCCAGAGAGGAGAGTCATTGGCCCAACTTGGGTAATGGCTTTCCTTAAGTCAATCAGCTCTAGTGTTCATGTGAGATCATGTAAGAATATGTCAGTTCCTGAGGTGGTGGAGCTGGGGGCCTGCTGGAAAAGAGGAAGGATTACTGAGCAGAAAATCCGATGGCTGTTTCCCACATCGAGCCACCAGCAGAGGCCATGCTTAGATTTTTTAAATGTTTCATTTATTTATTTTTGGCTGCACTGTCTTTGTTGCTTTGCGTGGGTTTTCTCTATCAGTTGTGAGCACAGGGGCTACTCTTGCAGTGCTCTAGCTTCCCATTGCAGCGACCTCTCGTTGCAGAGCATGGGCTCTAGGCACATGGGTTCAGCAATTGTAGTGCACAAGCTCAGTTGCTCTGTGGCACATGGAATTGTCCAGGATCAGGGATCAACACATGTCCCCTGCATTGGCACGTGGATTTTCATACACTGCACCACCAGGGAAGTCACATGCTTAGATTTGAAGATAGCTGTCAATGCCATGCTAATGCACCAGCTCCATCATCAGTGCATCAGAGTCAGGAAAAACAAGTGACAGCAAGTTCTTTAAAGGCTGCTTAAAGAAAGCTTGTGGTGTTCTGAGTTTAGATGGTGGATTGAATGCATATATACACTCACACTGAGCATCAGCCAGGGATTGGACTGGACCTCTGTGGACACCAAAACCCTCAGATGCTCAAATTCCTTATACAAAATGGTGTAGTATTTGCATATAACATGCACAATTCTCCTGTATACAGTAAGTCCCCTACATATGTACAAGTTCTATTCCGAGAGCACATTTATAAGTCCAGTTTGTTCATTAAGTCCGACAAAGTTAGCCTAGGTACCCAACTAACACAATCGGCTATATAGTACTGTGCTGTAATAGGTTTATAATACTTTTCACACAAATAATACAC